TGCTGGAATTAGGTGTGTGCCACGATGCCCACAATTTAAAGGAAAGGTTTATTTGGGCTCACAGTTTAGTCCATCGTAGGCCGACTCCAAAGAAGAATGGCATGACAAAGGGGCACAGCAGAGAACAACTGCTCAAAGTGTGGTGGACAGGAAGCAGAGAGCAAAGGGAACAGCCAAGGAGGGAGACAGATAAACACTTACAGGTCAGGTCTCCAGTGACCTTCCTTCTATGGCCAGTCCCCACCTCCTAACAGCAGCAAGCTGTAACCCCCAAAGTTCAATTCCCTTCTACTGGCTTGCCTTTGAGCACATTAGGCTCTGAGGGGACACCCAGATCCAAACTGCAGTGTCTATCATCTTGCCTGTGTTTTTGTTTTTTGCCCCAGTCTGTTATTGTACTCATACCCACCTGCAGCCGACCACACAGCAGGGTGTGCCTAATGTCCTCGGGGTTGGTGCACATTGGGCAGGTGGGCCACGGAGGTGAGGCTGAGGTTTCCATGCTTGGCCCACTCTATCAGGAGGCTGTGATGCTCACTGCCAGGCATGTTATTGAGAATACAGAGCAGTAGATTTGCAGTTGCTTGGTGCAGTGTTCTTTGGGTCAGTTCAGTTGATCATGAACAGCTGTGAAATCTGTCCTTTGATTGTGGACATATCTGCTTCTCTTTTCTTTTTGCATTATTGAAGACTGAACCCTTCATTAAGCTACACCCCCAGCCATTTTTCATTTTGAGACAGGGTCTTGCCTAAATTGCCTATACAATTTACAGTTCTCCTGCCTGTAATCCCTGCCTGTAATCAGAGTGCTGGGATTACAGGATTGTGCCACCATGCCTGGGTTGCTTCTCCTTTTAGTTGCCACCTTGTGCTGTATCTTGTCATCTTTGTATCTATGTGTATGTCACTAGGTTTCTGGGGATGTGGGACTTTTACATCTTCCTGGTGAGCTGCAATTCATTATGGTGAATTGAGTCTTTACTCATAAGTTCATTTTTCTGGGAGTCCACTCTAATATGCACACACAAGCTTTCTTTCATTGGTAAAACTGCAAAGAGCATTGTGACACCAGAAAAGATATAATCAGAGGTTTTGGGGTCCTGAAGCAGGCATGTGAATTTTGGATAAAGGTTTGGTAAAGCACAGCTGTGGAGGAGGGGCAGAGTGGGCCACTTGGGGCTCTGACTACAGCTCCTTATTCTCTTCTCCCCACGGGTAGGTTGGCTAGGCCACATTGCCAGTGCTGTCCACATTTAAGCTTGGGCCTCCTGCCCTAGGCACTGAGCTGTCTCCTCCCAACCTCAGCTCGTGTGGGGGGCTGCAGGGCTCCATGTGGAGATGAACAGTGCACTGTTGGCTGCAGGACCTTTTCTTGGTCCAGAGGGGTCATCCTCCATCTTCTCATGAGAGCAAGTACAGGCTGGTGCCTACCCAGCCATCCCTGGCTCTGTGACTGCCCCTGCCCTTCTGGAAGGCCACTGTGGCCTGCCGCCTTTGTTTCCCAACTGATAGATGTTTGCCTGTCCCCTGGGGAGGCTACATACTTGTCACTTAAGCAGATCCAGCCAAGCTGCCCACTTTAGCTGTGGAACCTGTTGTTTGTCCCTTAACTTCTGCCCTCCGTATGTTCAATTGGAGGAAAATGGGAGCAGCTTCAGATGAGGGCAGGTGCCTCTGTCCCATTCAGGACAGACAGCCTCCATATCTGGGGCTCAGCATAGGGGGGAAGAGGACAGATGATTCTCAAAGCCCTAGCTCCTCCCCGCTAAGGGTGGGGAAGTTTGCGGCTCACTGTCCCTTCCTCTGCCCTTAGGAGAGACCCGGGCCCGAGCTGGGAACAGGAGCCAGGGCCTGCGGCGTCCGTCCCTTCGGGCCACTGCTGCGGTCCAGTGGGGCCAACTGCAGCGAGCCGAGTGTGCCGCTCGTTGCCGGTGAGTGGGGTTAGTAGTGGTGGAGGTCTGACCCACAGGGTGAGAAGGACGTCAGGGCCTGGCGAGCAGGGAGTCTCGGGGGCGGCCGCCGGGCGTGGGGTAGTGGACCTGGGATGTCCGGGTCTCAGCGCCACCGGCCAGAGCTTCAGGCTGCGCAGAACTATCGCCGCGGCAACCCGCGCAGCTCAGGGACTGAACAGGGCGGGGCGCAGGGGCCCTGTCCTCACAGGCCGGGGTCCGCGCGCCGGGATCCGCTCTGTGCTAGGCCAGGCAAAGCGGCGAGCGCCAGGGTCTGGGCGGCACGGGCGGTGGAGAGCTGGGCACGCAGAGGCTCCGAGGGCCTGGCGGCAGCACCCGCAAATAGCGGGGTAGGTGCGGGAGCGAGTGGCCGTGGGTGGCTGCTGGTGACTGAGCAGGGCCAGGGCGACCCCCGCCCTAGGCCGCGGGAGTGGGCGGGGCGCTGCTTGGTGAGGTCTAGGATGCGCTGACAGCGGAGATCAGGCCCCGCGGGGGACCCTCGGTGGAGGAGGGGCGGTCCTTCCCCAGCCCAGACCCCTTCTGTGGCCTGAGACTGGAGTCTGTGCGAGCCGAGGGCACAGGCCCGGGAGGACTGGATCCGGTGTGAAGCATGGGCTGCGCACTGGGCATGAGTGCCGGGCCAGGTCCCTGGGGTGCCGCCAGGGGAGGTTCCAGGTCCGGGCTGACTTCTCAGGGATGTGGAGTCTGTTTCATCGCCGGCCCAGAGTCCTCAGCCCTCTGCCGCGTTTGTCGAGTGACTGAGCGAGCAAGGATGGGGTGGTGAGGGTAGTGGTGCAGCGGCGACCTGGCTGTGGGGCCTGGACACAGACTGGGAAAGACCTTCCTAGTCTGCGGCGCGGCCCGCGTGGGCTTTCCGAGCGAACTGCGCGGGCTGGTGGGTGTGAGACACGCCAGCGTGGGAGGCTAGGGAGCCGTGGCGCGGAACCTTGGAGGTGGTGGGGGCAGGGCAGTAACCCCAGCCATCCCCCACCCCCACCCCGCTGAAGGTGTCGGAGCCCCAGCGCGTGGGTGGGAGGGTCCTGGGATGCGTCGGGTGCGAGAGTGGGGTCAGGGCCCTTCACGTGGGTGTGTGGTGTCACTAGGACAGGCTGAGCGCTTCATGGTCCCCTGCGATAGTAAATTTTGTCTTTGTCTAGACAGGGTGGTCCGCGGGGCCCCAGGCTGGGTTCGAGAGGGAGGCGGAGCCGGTGGCCGCGGCTCCGGACGAGTGAGGGCTGGCGCTCGGGGGACTGGGCTGCTCTGACCGGGTGCGCGGGCGCAGAGTGGGGAAGCAAGGAGATGCAGCAGGAGCAGACACCCCTGTACGGAGCCGGAGAGCGTGGAGCGGAGTCAGGGAGCGTCCGTGCTGCACGAGGGTGGACAAGGATCCAGTCTAATGGAAGGGAACAGAGATCCGCGGGACGGATGCGTCAGCCGGGGAGGAAGCGGAGGGACTGGTGGTGACCGCGCTCCGGGTACCGGGCTCCGGGCACGCAGAAACCACTTCCGTTCCATTTCCTTCCTGGCTCGGCGGGGACTCGGCCTCGGTCCC